GTCACCTACAATGATCTCTCATCTGTAATCAGAGAAATACAAGTCGCCTCCACAGAGCCACAACAGTTCCAATTTGGGAATATTTACTGACATTTGCTGCAGACTTGGGCCGAATATCCGCCTCTGAGCATGTCCAGATAAACCCTGATATATTATTTAACATTTTGCATGACAATCAACTTGCAATATCTATCCCTGGTCATTAGGTGAGGGAGTATCAGTATCAGATCTCTGTCGAGCCCCTTGCTAGCAAAAGCTTTGTGACAACTGTCTCCTGGTATCCCGTAGTCACATAGCCATGTGAGGGACGTTTTGAATACAAATATAACATGTTATTTGCACATTCAATTCATTAAAACTAATTTCTTGTTTTAGTTTTTATTAAAGGGTTTGAGAAAATAGAAATTGCACCACAGACATTGATAACCTAGGAATAATCATCACAAAAGGGTCGGATATTAATGTAACTAAACATATTGCTTAAAGATGTCACAAGTTTAAATAATGATAAACAATTACACTCAAAAACAAATTTAACAGAATAGCAAATTGGTATAAAAATGTTAACATATTGAAATAACATAGATTTGCAAATCAGAACAATTGTTTGCAGGAGCAAAGGGCAGGCACAATTTGCATAGTGGAAACACTCGCACATATGTAGCACATTAGAAGGGCACTAAATAGTGGACACACTGTAACAAATGGCACATGTACATCAACAGAGAGACTCCGATACATATGAACAATAGACTCCGATACAAATGAACGGAGTAGACTCCAAAACATATGAACAATAGACTCCGATACACATGAACAATAGACTCCGATACACATGAACGGAATAGACTCCGATACACATGAACGGAATAGACACCGATACACATGAACGGAATAGACTCCGATACACATGAACGGAATAGACACCGATACACATGAACGGAATAGACACCGATACACATGAACGGAATAGACTCCGATACAAATGAATGGAATAGACTCCGATACACATGAACGGAGTAGACTCCGATACAAATGAACGGAGTAGACTCAAATACACATGAACGGAATAGACACTGATACACATGAACGGAATAGACTCCGATACACATGAACAGAGTAGACTCAGATGTACATCAACCGTGAACGAGTGAGTGAGTGCGTGAGTGAGTATGGTTTTGCGCCGCTTTTAGCAATGTTTCAGCAATATCACGGCGGGGGACATCAGAAATGGGCTTCACACATTGTACCCATGTCGGGAATCGAACCCGGGTCTTCGGCGTGATGAACGAACACTTTAACCACAAAGCTACCTGACCGCCCCCATTAACAGATAGACTCCAATACACATGAACAGATTAGACTCAGATGTACACAAAAATATTTGTTTGTTGAGCTGTACTAGAAGTCTTTTGATGGGTTTCACTTTGATTGATAAGTTTCATATCTTGAATGATGAGTTTTACATTTTAATTAATCAATCACAGATTGCATCTTTGGCCACAGATGTACATTAACAGATAGACTCCGTTACACATGAACATGAGTAGACTCCGATACACATGAACATGAGTAGACTCCGATACACATGAACATGAGTAGACTCCGATACACATGAACATGAGTAGACTCCGTTAAACATGAACATGAGTAGACTCCAATACACATGAACATGAGTAGACTCCGATACACATTAACATGAGTAGACTCCGATACACATGAACGGAGTAGACTCCGTTACACATGAACATGAGTAGACTCCGATACACATGAACATGAGTAGACTCCGTTACACATGAACATGAGTAGACTCCGTTAAACATGAACATGAGTAGACTCCGATACACATGAACATGAGTAGACTCCGATACACATTAACATGAGTAGACTCCGATACACATGAACGGAGTAGACTCCGTTACACATGAACATGAGTAGACTCCGATACACATGAACATGAGTAGACTCCGATACACATGAACATGAGTAGACTCCGTTAAACATGAACATGAGTAGACTCCGATACACATGAACGGAGTAGACTCCGTTACACATGAACGGAGTAGACTCCGTTACACATGAACGGAGTAGACTCCGATACACATGAACGGAGTAGACTCCGATACACATGAACATGAGTAGACTCCGATACACATGAACATGAGTGGACTCCGTTACACATGAACATGAGTGGACTCCAATACACATGAACATGAGTGGACTCCAATACACATGAACATGAGTGGACTCCGATACACATGAACATGAGTGGACTCCAATACACATGAACATGAGTAGACTCCAATACACGTGAACATGAGTAGACTCCAATACACGTGAACATGAGTAGATTCCGTTACACATAACATGAGTAGACTCCGAAACACATGAACGGAGTAGACTCCGATACACATGAACATGAGTAGACTCCGATACACATGAACATGAGTAGACTCCGATACACATGAACATGAGTAGACTCCGATACACATGAACATGAGTAGACTCCGATACACATGAACATGAGTGGACTCCAATACACATGAACATGAGTAGACTCCAATACACATGAACATGAGTGGACTCCGTTACACATGAACATGAGTGGACTCCAATACACATGAACATGAGTGGACTCCAATACACATGAACATGAGTGGACTCCGTTACACATGAACATGAGTGGACTCCGATACACATGAACATGAGTAGACTCCGATACACATGAACATGAGTAGACTCCGATACACATGAACGGAGTAGACTCCAATACACGTGAACATGAGTAGACTCCGTTACACGTGAACATGAGTAGACTCCGTTACACATGAACATGAGTAGACTCCGATACACATGAACATGAGTAGATTCCGTTCCACATAACATGAGTAGACTCCGAAAGACATGAACATGAGTAGACTCCAATACACATGAACATGAGTAGACTCCAATACACATAACATGAGTAGATTCCGATACACGTGAACGGAGTAGACTCCTATACACATGAACGGAGTAGACTCCCATGTACATCAACTTGGACACTCCATCTTGCTTCCATTTGATATGCAACAGTGTAGAACATACCAAAATGTGTCATATGTTCACAAAAATATTCGTTTGATGAGCTGTACTAGAAGTCTTTTGATGGGTTTCACTTTGATTGACAAGGTTCATATCTTGAATGATTAGTGTTACATCTTGATTAATCAATCAATGATTGCATCTTGGGCCAAAATAAATAAATGTCATGGTTCCGTTCACATGGTTTTCAAATGAATAAAATACGCCGAATTCACAGAAACATTTTTGTCATATTTGATGAAATATTAAGGTCCTTAACTAAGACAGTGTTGGTTGTAATTAAAGTGAGCGAGTGAGTTGGGTTTAACGCCGCTTTTAACAGTTTTCCAGTTACATCGCGGCGTGTCAGCTTAATGTGGGAGGAAAAGCCCGAAGTGATGCAGGTCTTAGACGTTTACCACTTCGGTATTACCCATGAGCACGGGTATGGTGCTGACAAACCTAGAAACATAATCGGGGCGAACCAGGATTCAAACCTACAATCATAGGTTTCTGGTGAGCCCAAGGGACGCAACTGTGCACAGCGAATCGCAGCAACTTAGCCAACTTGGCCTACCGTGACCCTGGTTGTAATTAGAACCCATCACACCGCCACAATAGAGCTTAGAGGCCTTAACTGTTTGTTCTCTAGAAAGTCCATAGACAATGTGACCACATGATTCAGTGCTCAATTCCACGCATGCCTTTTTGTTTATATTGAATCTGTCCTAAGGACCGGTGTTTATTCTAGTATCAATTCAGTGATTTTGCAGACACATATGACTTTTGCATGCCATTCCTTTATATCATAACAACATTTGAAATCCTCTTTTGGACATTTTAGATGACAATAAGCCAATATCCAAGAAAATGAACCGATGTGAAACCCTGTAAAATTTCAAAACATGGTCCAAAACTGAACATATATGTTCTCTTGAGCATTCTGACAAATTTCTTTGTCAGTTGGGGTCAGGCGCGATGTGCATGACATATTAACACAACACATCACAACACAACTCTGACCTCACGTAACCCACACGTAGACTCGTCATTTCACTGCCAATAGGGGCAGGTATCAGAGACCACGTTGGGGGGGGTTGAAAAAAAAAGAATAAAAGTATCCCCTGAAATATCTCCATGTTGATAATATAAAACCAAACATGGTAGTCAAATTACAACTGTTTTTTTAAATGTGGAATAATTAATACCATTGATAAAAAACATGAATTTCTAGAACCAATCATGAGTATTGTCGTTTTTATCAGCGATTTCAAGATCACATGAGGACTTTGAAGGCTGTCAGAGAGATTTTTCCAAAATGTTCTATTTTTCGTAAGAGAAACCTATCATATTTGTTCCCTAATGATCTACATGGAGACATAACTAGGACACACAAGGTGTAGTGATGTGACTCATTGTCCAAACGCTTCTCCGTCAAGTCTTGGTACAATGTCCCCTGATCTTTATCCACGGTACTGTTCCTGTCTCTACATGGTTCACTGGAATGATTGTTAAACAAATACCAGCCAATCAAATACAACCTGATCAGCTTCTGATTGGTCAGTTCGATGGAAGACAATTTTGGTATGTTGTAAAACTCAGTCAGATTGTTGGAGCAGGGAATTTGTAACAATGTGGCATGGAATACTGACTATGTTGCAGTACAATATTTGGACATGGGAAACACTGCCAGACTGTCGGTCAACATCCTGTTGAAATGTTCCTTCAACTGGAATATAGATACCGTATACAACGTAATAAGTGCCCAGGGCGCTCTCAAAATTAGAAATAGGGGGCTCTTATTAGAATATTACTTTGGTAAAAAAAAAAGAGTTAAAAGATAAATTTTGTGGTTTTTGCTGACAGCCTGAAATGTTTATATATGACAGATATATTTTTCCAGAATGTATTTGCCCATAATTAAGGGTGCATATAACACACGAGTGCATATTATACACAAATAAATAAGTCTTATGTACATTGATCAATGGGAAGGATGCTAATTGGGATTGTTCACTAGCCAATATATTAGCAAATATTGCCGTGGGCGCTTATTACGTCAGATACGGTATGTGTTGTGGTAACACAAAATTGGGCCACTAAGGAACACAGAGGGACAGAATGTTGGGCCAATAACTGAAAACAGACCTGATACTGATTGGACAATGTGACATTGACATAACCTCGACCACTGAGAAATTCAGGGTCAGACTGAGGTAACCAGTGACTAGCCAGTTGAGTACACCACTACACCCTGCCACCTGGAGGTGCGCCTCTGATCGGCACCTCAAACCACCTCCGACTTGATCTCCTCCGCAAGACCTCCCCATCGCAGTCGGTACACCTTGTTGCGCCACGTTATGGTCCGGGTTCGGTGGCACTGGATGAACACGTAAACCACCAACATCTCTCGCATCAACCATGCCACCAGAAACTCAAATTTGGAAAATTTTAGAGGTCCATTCTGAAAAAAAGATGAGACAAAGCTGTCATATTCCTGAGTTAGTTCATAGGGATGTCACGATAAATTGAAATATCAATATATTGCTATTGGTAAGCACTTTAAGTCAATAGATCGATTGTTAAATCAGTTCCCGATCAATAGTATCGATTTCAGTTAGGAATATCGATAGTTTCGATTGTAGTTACCATATCAATAAAATACATGCAATGCTGTTCAATTTGTTTTTCTTTTGATCATGAGTGGTAGTAATTTACACATGGAAATTTGGAAGTTTCTTTTTCTTAAATTATTAGAGTAAAGAAAAAACAAATCTGTCATATCTCAAATTTTACTTTTTATTTGTTGTTATGGTTATCACATTCAAAGGAAACGTCAGTTGCAAGGTTTAATTCAACTCTAAAATCCATCTAAAATGATACACTGAAAACTATGATATTTATCGCAATAGTTGCTTGCAATATCAACAGTTATCGCAATAGTGATTTCCAGACCAATAGTCACCCCTATTAGTTCACATACAAGGGCTGGGACGGGCTAACTCGGGTACCCGGTTCGGGTGGGTACTGAGTAGGACCCGGGTACCCACAGGACTCCCCGGACCCGTGGTTAGTCTCGTGATAAATTGTTTAATGACAAAAATGATCTAAAACTATATGGTTACACTACAAGTCACTAATGTTTGCATTTCTTTCTGACTATGTACCCATTCCTTCTGACTTTGATATGTTTGAATAAAGATAAATCTTCAGTCAACTTCAGCGTATGCATGACCAGATCATTTTATACGTATAACTAAATACATTTTGTCCAGGGCTACGGTCAAACCATCCCAATCGGACATTTAGTACTCATCTCTTGAGACCTACAGCGGGTACCCGGGTAGGGATGGGTAATACATGTATTCCTTGATGAGTAAAATACTGGAATACAGTATTTAACTACCGTTCGACTTGGAATATTTAAGGATTTTTATTTTTATTTTATTTAAAATGGAAATAAAAACGAATCATGCAGCAAACTTTATGATGATGTGGGCAGTGCCTGAGAACCAAGACTATTAGATTTTTTAGCCTAAAATAAAGGGGGAAGGAACTTTCAACTTTTGGCAACAGAATTACAGCCTCATCTAGGGTGTCTGAACTGTGTCTGCTAAATGTAACACCAGATGTTGTTCATACTGCTGGAGAGAGAGTTGCCTTGTCCCTCCCTTCCCTCCCCTCCCCATAAGGTCAAAGTCAGAGTTGGGTTTGCACCTGACAGCAGATTCCTTGCAGGGACTGGTGTGAATGAAACATACTATGGGTGTATCGGTATATCGGTAAATTGAGGTTCATTTTTCCACGATACGTACATGTATCACAATATCTTTTTTTCATGCTCGATATATCAGGTGATTTCAATGATGTTTATGATGTGTTGTTTAATGTTATATACTTGTCAAATGCTTGCCTCAGGGGCCCCTAGAGGGCTGTGCACTTATTGACTGAGTAAACATCATGTTGTACCAGCATCTTGTTTTGTTCCATTTATGAACTTCAATTCATACCTTAAATGTATCAGATAGCTTCTGAATTCAAAATTTAGAATTATATACAATATTTTGTGATATGCATTGCAATACAGTCTTGTGCATCGCAAAATATTGTAATACACTTTAAACCTCCAATACCCATTGCACTCTCCTACTCAGAGTTCCATGAGGCCGGCAGCCAGCTAGCATAGTACCTCTGCCACAGGCCAGCGCCATGTGACAATTCATCACATCTTTCACAGTCCATTCAAGATATTGCATATGCTTTTCATCCGTTTCATGTTTGACAAGTCTACACATTTTCATAAACAAATGTCAAAGAATGGTTAACTTTCATTGAGAAAGTATGCAAATACGTAAAAATCTACTTATTTTTGCGTAGTTATCCTATGTTTACATTGGTTGTACGGCTCCACGTGCTGTCATCGAAGCCAAACGGAGAGCTAGCGACACGGTCACTTTGATGCATAAATATATATTGTCATGCAACTCACTGTCGCAGTTGTAGTAGCATATCTATATAGTTATGCAAAACAATATGTAAAGCGCCCCCAAATACTTGCATTAGTCTGTTCTATACTGATTTCTGAAAAAGCGTGTTTGTTTACAAACAAGAGAAAAGTCTGGTCACGTGATATGCAAATTAGCCTGTGGCAGTGGTGTTATGCTGAGTCACCACTGCGACGGAGTGTGTACCCATTCCTAAACCTTACCTCGACTGTTGTAATGAGAGTATAATCCAGCAGGAACCAGCACAGAATATGGAGGAGGAAGACCACGGAGGCGCTGATGTCAAACAGATGCTGGATGGCAAAAGACGCACACACTCCTATGATCATACACTCTGATATCGGTTCCAGGAGTATCAGCGTTGGCAACATGGATATCCGCAAGTGACACCACCTAATTAGACACAAGGCATCATTTTCAAGGAATGTACATTTACGCCGGACTGGACACCACCTAATTAGACACAAGGCATCATTTTCAAGGAATGTACATTTACGCCGGACTCGAATTCCATAATCAGTTCTTTGAAAAACATAATCAAACATTAACTACTTTCACCACTGACATGGACGGGGTAGTTTTTGGTAAAGGTTTTTAGTTCTCAGAATGAAACAGGGTTTTACGTTGACTTACAAAAGTGGGGAACCCCCATCCTTAATTTCAAGAATTGGAAAAGGCTAGTCTGGTGAAGTAATGAAAACGTGTCGTGTACTGTACGTTTTGATAATAACCTTAATTATAGGACCTTTATATTCTTGTCAAGCATTTGGTACAATGAACATTATTGTGCGCCCCTTGGGACACAATATCTTTATTCTTGCATCCATTCTATAAAACTGTGAGAACAGAACGCACATTTCTACGTCTTGTAAAATGCTGATGACATGAGAGGGAGAGAATTTTAGTTCATGTCTAATACAAACACCTCAAAGCAGCAAGTACTTCAATTTGCAGACTTCATGAAAATAATAATTCAATTTGCTCAGAAATGTTCACACATACTGATAAATTATTGTCATTTTGTTCATCACAGTTCACAAGTCACCTGTCAAGACTTGAGGAGATCAGATGAATTGTTACAGGCCTACAACTGACACTGCCAGCTTTGAAAGGAGTACTAGAGGAGGCAGGAACCCTACCTGATAAGCCGGCGATGAAACTCTCCAATTGAGTATGTACCCAAGTTTTGTAAAGCTGGCTCCGGACACAGAACAACTTTGTACCCCCTGGAACATGGAAAAAAACAGGTAAACAAGTGCAATGGGACTTTGTTTGTTTGTTTGTTTGTTGTTTAACGCCGCACTCAGCAATATTCCAGCTATATGACGGCGGTCTGTAAATAAACGAGTCTGGGCCAGACAATCCAGTGACTGATATCACAAGTATCGATCCACGCAATTGGGATACGATGACATGCATCAACCAAGTCACCAAGCCGTACCACCTCTTTATGACAAGCATAGTCACCTTTTAAGGCCAGGATGGGTTGCTGAAGACCTATTCTACCCTGGGTCTTCACGGGTCTCAAGTCTATGATGTTTGGCCTAACATGGCAATATTCAAGTAAAATGATTCGACTAGCACTTCATTCCCAAAATTTCAAATGGTTACATTAACAGGAAAATTAACGATGGCTTGTCAAACTGGCTGAGCGTTTATGAATTCTTCACAGCAATATAAATGTACACTATTCCACAAAGGTGACGCCCGGAATGATTCAAAGATTTCAACATTACAGGAACAGCACCCAGTCAAGGTCAGACAAACCGACGGCTGATAGCATGAGCATCTATCCATGTTGTCCTGGTAACATGACAAACAGTGGGGCTGGTCCGTACAGTGATACTGCAAGCACCCAGTCCCCATTCAGGGATTATTCTGGGAAGGGCCCGTGGGCTTCTGGCCCATAAATATAAGAAAAGGCCTCATTTTCAAAAGCAGTGGAGCTTTATATCATTATATTATATAGGCATCACATAGAAATTGTTCGAAACTCCACTTAACAGTACTAAATGGGCCCACATTATAAAGTTCCTGGAATGATCCCTGCTCATTTAGTAATCTCTTACAACAGAGCCTGCTAGCCCAAGCCGGTTTCACTGCTGTCAAAGGTATCCTAAGGGCTTGCAGAATTTCGAACATTTTTGGGATGTTCCTATGTGTTATCACTATCAGGGCTAGTAGACCTTGTAGGTTAATTTCTATCCATGAATTGAGAAACTGAGCACCACTATGTCACAGAATCACCAACAGGCAGGCCAGGACGTATATTGTGTAAATTTACCTGAATGTTATTTGGGCAAGTGCTGGGTATATGAGTCTCAATAAATAAGACCACGTATTCACATACCTTTGCCTGAAAGCTTCAGCAAAAAAGAAATCTTCTGCGAGATATTTGCCAAAGGATGCCATGCCCCCCGCTGCATCAAGTATATCTTTCCTCATCAGACAGGACATTCCTGTAGAGCAGTTGATGCCGAGAGCATTCGCTGCCAAACAGTTCCGGGCTTGCATAGTGCCAAAATACACCTGCAAATAAAGAACAGAAGGTAGGATGGTGATCGGTTAGGATTTTATCTTGGATCATTGGTTAAAATCAGTTTGTTCGAACTACAAAACCATTGATAATCTTCCAAATACCATATATTAAAAAAATCGTCTTTTTCGTTTTTAAAAGAAACGGTAACAAAAAACTGCCTGAAATACATGTTTAAGCTTATTCCATTTTGTAACATTTTTTAAAACAAGAGGGTGACTGTGTACATACCTTCTCGTAGACAGCAGCAAAGCCTTCCCTGTCAGCAACGTAGGGCATTTGGAGCACCATCCCGACCTTGCTTGTCATGCATGCCATCATGCCCGTCAGGGTCGACTCTTGCACTGCACACAGACACACACACACAACTTAATCCTTACTCTCTAAAAAACTCACCTTACGGTCAAACTACACCTATAGACATGAAACGCAGTAGATTGTACATACTCACGATGCAAATTTGATTACATTCATGCATTTTTATTTAACAGTGTATTGAGGTTTTATTGTGATTCATATCAATCATATTACTTCAGTTTCATTTGGAATATTGATGAAGTTTGTATAAGAGACTTACTGCGTATTCCGCTGTCCGATACCAACACGATGTCATACTTTGCTGCTTCATAAGCCTTCACCATGTTGTTCACCTTGCCATTGGCGCCAACTGACTTGATTCCTGCAAATACACATTGGATATCACTGTCAGGAACTGTGAGGGAGTTAGTGAGATCGAGCAAGCAAGCGAGTGAGTGAGTGTAAGGGTGGGTGAGTGAGTGAGTGAGTGAGTGAGTGAGTGAGTGAGTGAGTGAGTGAGTGAGTGAGTGAGTGAGTGAGTTAGTGAGTGAGTGAGGGAGGGAGTGGTTGGGTGGATGAGTGAGTGAGAGTGAGGGTGGGTGGGTGAGGGAGTGGTTGGGTGAGTGAGTGAGTGAGTGAGTGAGTGAGGGAGTGAGGGAGTGGTTGGGTGGATGAGTGAGTGAGTGAGTGAGGGTGGGTGGGTGAGGGAGTGGTTGGGTGAGTGAGTGAGTGAGTGAGTGGGTGAGTGAGTGAGTGAGTGAGTGGGTGAGTGAGTGAGTGAGTGAGTGAGTGGGTGGGTGGGTGGGTGGGTGGGTGGGTGAGTGACTTAATGGATCGGGTGGTAAGACTGGTGCGATGGTGTCTTAACTGATGACATGTTATTGTACCCCTATACTATCAATCACTGGTATGTCTGGTCCAGGCTTCATGTGTTAATGATCACTGTCATATAGCTGGAATATTTCCAGGGTGATGGGTATAACGTAGAATTCATTGAGGTTTGCTGCCATAGTATTACACAAGAATAAAACTTGAAGACTTAAGATTAGGCTTCTGCTGCTTGTTGGGCCTGCTTCATTACAAACCCTTGAACTGTTCACTGAATCACAAACAACTGCGTGGAGTAACGGACAAAACTCAACATGCTCAACCCTCTTATCAGAGGTGGCAAGTTTTCTGAAATACTGAACCAGCTAACACACATCTGGGACCTGTTCCACAAAGCGACCTTAGCGCTACGACTGTCGTAAGTCTATCCTTAAGTATGGGAGTTACGATCGTCTTAGCGCGAAGTTGCTATATGGAACGGAGCCCAGGTGGCTTTCTGTCCTGACTCGCCTTGGCCTTTCTCTTGCCTCAGGCCTGGGACTGTCAACAGCCAAGTTGATGTTGAAATATTTTTTATCAACAGGGACAGGCAAATAGGAAATAAAAAGCGCAGGGTAGTGAAGGTATCTTTTACAAAGCCCATTTAATTTTCAATCCAGAATTGTTTAAACATTGGTCTTAACATTATTGTGTAACAATAAATCCTTACTCTTTATTGGTTCCGTTTTCAGGGAAATACATGTAGCTTTTGCAAAACTATTACATTGTACATTATCATAATTGTAACACTATCTGAGATTTACCTGGTTTTTACCTGGGGGCCAGGGAATGCAAAGTCTTTCATTGTAGGGGTCCCAAGTTAAAACATAGGGGTCCCAGAGAAATGTCAAAATTTGATACAGTACTCTACCACAAATGACATACTTAAAGGACGTATGCTTAAAGGACGTATGCTTAAAGGACGTTAGTTAAAAATATTCCTAAACGTGCATAAAAATTTACTGCATCAACATGATCAATGTTTGTATATTTTTTGTATCCATTTTCGATTTGTATGCATATAGTGTGCAGGATTTCACATCCAGTAAATCCTTTATATTTGATAATCTGAATTTAGAAAATGTTTGATCCAACTTAACATGCTTAAGATCTTTCAACATGTTCAAGGACACTTGCTGTCGATGTGGGCAAAATATCTGCAGATGGGAAAATCATGATAAATAAGGACTGTATAACATTCAGCCTGGATCTAATGAAAATAATGTACTGAAACATCCATTTCACTTCCTGCATAAAACGACAGAGGTTAACCTTTGTGTACTTCCCTGTCTTTAATGTTGTTGTTTGTCTGTTGACTCACACTCTGCCCACGCTGGGACTTTCACCAGCCACACAACTTCCTGGCTGATCATGTCTTTCAACATGTTCTAGTGTAGTTGACATGACTTCTACTTAAACTGATACTGATACCACAATCTCTAAATGCAGTGATGAGAATAGACATTTTCCTTTTTCAGCTGAAATGTCTTTTCAATGGAGCGTGGCCCATAATTTTGGGGTGTTTATAGGGGGTTCATGCGAATTTAACAAATTTGTGCTCACTAAAATCCGTGGAAATTCGCGGATCTGCGGAAGATGCTCATCCCTGTAAATGGTACCGTTTTCGACATAATAAGTGTGCTCAGGAAATTAATGAAGGAGATGGGGGTATTAATTAAAACCACACACGAGTTAAACGAGTTAAATTTGTCTTCATATACCGCCGTCATATAGCTTGAATATTGCTGAATTCTGCGTTAAACAACCAACAAATAAAACAAAACAAACAATACTAGGTTGTACTGGTGCATGACACATATAGTGACATTGAGCTCTGGTGAATTCTTGTCAATGCCACAGTCCGTAAAGTGTAAGGAAAAGGCAAATCAGTCACGGAATGAATGAGTAATCACCACCACCATCACCCTGCCATCTGAAGCATGACGACCTGATTCACTGAAGTCGGCTCTTCCCACAAGCAGGGGCCAGTTAGTCTGGGGGCTGTCTCCATACAGGGCACCGACAGAGTGAAAACACGCTCATACATCACACAATGTCAAAAATATCATAAACTGACATTTACATTTCTGCATATTCCTTGTATCATGTACTATGTTTTCGACTGCCGTCTGCAGCCCTGGTACACACTTAGCCACGACGTGATATAGGGATTAATCTAGACCTGATTAGCGTCCGATCTTCGGCCCCAAGTCTGCAGCCCTGGAAGACACTTAGCCACGACATGATATAGGGATTAATCTTGACCTGATTAGCGTCCGATCTTCAGGTCCAAGTCTGCAGCCCTGGTATACACGTAGCCACGACGTGATATAGGGATTAATCTAGACCTGCTTAGCAGCTGATCTTCGGCCCCAAATCTGCAGCCCTGTTATACACGTAGCCACGACGTGATATAGGGATTAATCTCGACCTGATTAGCGTCCAATCTTCAGGTCCAAGTCTGCAGCCCTGGTATACACGTAGCCACGTGATATAGGGATTAATCTAGACCTGCTTAGCGTCCAATCTTCAGGTCCAAGTCTGCAGCCCTGGTATACACGTAGCCACGACATGATATAGGGATTAATCTCGACCTGATTAGCGTCCGATCTTCGGCCCCAAGTCTGCAGCCCTGGAAGACACTTAGCCACGACATGATATAGGGATTAATCTTGACCTGATTAGCGTCCGATCTTCAGGTCCAAGTCTGCAGCCCTGGTATACACGTAGCCACGACGTGATATAGGGATTAATCTAGACCTGCTTAGCGTCCAATCTTCAGGTCCAAGTCTGCAGCCCTGGTATACACGTAGCCACGACGTGATATAGGGATTAATCTCGACCTGATTAGCGTCCGATCTTCAGGTCCAAGTCTGCAGCCCTGGTATACACGTAGCCACGACATGGTGTAGGGACTAATCTAGACCTGCTTAGCGGACGATCTTCGGCCCCAAGTCTGCAGCCCTGGTATACACGTAGCCACGGCAAGATATAGGGATTAATCTCGACCTGATTAGCATCCGATCTTCAGGTCCAAGTCTGCAGCCCTGGTATACACTTAGCCACGACATGATATAGGGACTAATCTCGATCTTCGGGTGCATGTCTGCAGAAAGTGTCATTAAAAAAATTCAAATTGGACGTAAACATTTCCCAATTCATATTAATACACATTACTAATAACTAATCTCATAGCTGTGTGGAGATAATCTGAATTTCACTGATAACATGATCAACAAAGGGAAAGAGGTTGTAGTACTTAGTTTTATATTATTGCATTGAATACAATGTCAAAATACAATGTTAAAAGACCTCTTAACAGGAACACAAAGAGAACTTTTAAAAAATCCCATTTTCGAACAAAATAACGATTTCCCCCAAAAATTGCCTGCCAGAAGCACTTTGTTAAAATCCCTGAAATCGTCATCTTGATAGTTGACAACAATGTGATACACATGACCAGGAAAGTTGTTACTTCAAGAAGTATTTGTGCAATAAATATGTCCTGACCTGACATTGACATACAATGTGTTCAAAGATCGTTTTTGTGTGGAATAGTAAGGGTTAGTCAGAGACAAATTTGAATGTTTATTTACATGCATTTGGTGCATGTAGTCATAAATATTAGGTGTCACAGGTGCTTGTTCCGCATAGCTACAACCAGCACTCTATCTGTTACTCTATCTCTGTACAACAGTGTACAAAGTTACTACAAACATCACATGGAATCACTGGACCAGTGAATGCACATGATACACCTTCACAACCTTGGCCTGGTCTGCATCACAAATCATTGTAGGGTGTCTGGTGTGTTGCCATGGAGACAGCGGTAGCCTAGTGAGGCGTGACAGCCACCCTGCACAGATGGATCAGGATCCACACACCAGACTCAGACATGCACAGTGCTTAATAATTCACCGTGGACGGAAGCAGCAGAGAGGCTTCTTCACCAATGATGTTTGAACATGTTGAAAAACAATGTTTGATACGGACTATATTTTTATTGAAAACAATGCTTGATACTGTCTTTATTTTATCAAAAATAATGTTTGATACAGACTATTTTTTTATTGAAAACAATGCTTGATACTGTCTTTATTTTATCAAAAATAATGTTTGATACGGACTATATTTTTATTGAAAAAAAATGTTTTATACTGACTTAATTTTATTAAAAACAATGTTTGATACTGACTATATATTTATTAAAAACATTGTTTGACACTGGTGTAATTTTTATTGAAAACAATGTTTGATACTGTCTTTATTTTATAAAAAACAATGTTTGATACTGACTATATTTTTTATTGAAAACAATGTTTGATACCGACTTAATGTTTATTGAAAAAACATGTTTTATACTGACTTAAATTTATTAAAAACAGACCCGTGAAGATTCCGGGGTAGAATAGGTCTTCAGCAACCCATGTTTGTTGTAAAAGGCGACTCAATATTGGTTTACTTGAAAACATTTTCAAGGAATTGCAGGCCAAATAAGCTCCATTTTCCTTTGATCCATGGTGCAACAACTAACATTACACATGGCTACTTATAGGTACCCAACTTTTGGTTCATTGCCATTGGATACCTTCAGTTCAGTGAAGAAAACAATAATGCTGCTCGGTTTTTTCAAAATCCGAAAACATCAAAAGGCACCAGCTCACCACTAGACTGAGCTGTAGAGCAAGTTTCATCAAGAAATATTCAATGGTTTTGGAGTGCTGCTCAGGACACAAGCACTACCCTCATTTTCAGTAAAGTCCAATTTGTCGTCATGAAAACATTTTTTTTTAAATTCCAAAATCATTGAAAAGCACAAGTTTACCACCACTAGACTGATCTGTATAGCAAGTTTCATTTACAAATATGCAACGGCTTTGGACTTCTGCTCTGAATAAGATACTACCCTCATTTTCAGTATGAGTCCAACTTGTCGTCATATAAAAAATAAAATATAAATATCCCATAACATCAAAAGGCACCAGTTCACCATTAGACTGATCTATACAGCAAATTTCAACAGGAAGTATCGGTTTTTGAGTCTTGCTCCGTGACATGCTGACCTCTATACTCCAGTTTTTTCCCACGGCATCATCATCATAAGAAAGTTCTAAAAAGGGACAACGAGGTGAGGTTGAATGGGGCAGAACTTCGCCAAAGGGACAACGAACAAGATTCATCAATTATACAGCAAGCTGTGGTTGTGTGCCGTGCCCATACATACACACACAGCTTGAACACATTCAAGCGTGACAGGAGGCGTCGGGGCATGTCAAAGTCATCTATCTCAAGATAGATGCTTTCACAGAAACAGAATGTCCTCACAGAAACAGAATGTCCTCACAGAAACAGAATGTCCTAACAGAAACAGAATGTCCTCACAATATCATGGACATACATACAGCAGCAGCAATGGCCAAATATAAGATGAATTGTTAAATGAAATCAAACAACAAACAACATTTTTTAAAATCATCAATTTTTTGGCAAATTTTGGTATATTCTGAATAAGAAATATTTCATCTGCAAATTCAAATAAGTGTTGACTTTTTGACAACCCAAAAGTATTTTAAGCTCCTCCCTCAATCTTGTTAATGAGTGAGTGAGTGAGTGAGAATGGTTTTACGCCGCTTTTAGCAATATTCCAGCAATATCACGGCCGAGGACACCAGAAATGGGCTTCACACATTGTACCCATGTTGGGAATTGAACCCAGGTCTTCGGCATGATGCTTTAACCAGTAGGCTACCCAGCCGCCCCTAATCATGTTCCTGCCTTCCTCTCATTCATCACTGACTGAATGCCACATAAGTCTGCCATACGGGGAACATATGTCCCGTGAACATCCGGGGTAGAATAGGTCTTCAGCAACCCATGCTTGCCGTAAAAGGCGACTATGCTTGTCGTAAGAGGCGACTAACAGGGTCGGGTGGTCTGACTCACTGACTTGGTTGATGCATGTCTTCGTATCCCAATTACGTGGTTCGATGCTCATGATGTCAATCACTGGATTGTCTGGTCCAGACTTGATTATTTACAACCGTCATATGACTGTAATATTGCTGAGTGCGGCGTTAAACAAGACACAAACAAAAACATATCACATACTGCCCCACTTTCAAACACTTTTGAAGTGACACATCTTTTCAGGAACTAATAAGTCCCCAAGTCCTTCAGAGTCCTAAATTTAACTGCTATTGAAATCTGTATTTGAGTATGTGCCCCTCAACTATTTCTTCAAATTTAACATATTGGTTATGATTGACATGCTTCATTTGTACAATGCACAGGATGACACTCCTAAAATGATATTTTATTATTTTGAGTTGTGTTTTCCACTGTGTTGAATAGTATTTATGGTGGGAGGAAATCCCCTGGTACTACAGGACATATAGAATAAATCGAAGAAAAATTCATAATCAAATCTTAGTTACACGTGAATATTGACTTTGCTGTGTCCACATATCTCCGCTGGCTGTTGCTGACTATTGACTTTGAGCATTAACTTATATAATCCTGCTGCTGATGTCGGCTGAGCCTGTACATGCAGACATGTCAGGCAGGTTGAGACAGACGAATGACTGAATGTTGCTGAATGCTGCAATATTCCAGCCGTATCACAGCAGCCTGTAAATAGGTGAGGTGAGGTGAAATGGGGTTTAACGTCGTGTCCAAGATTATTGCACTTATATAGCGACATGCATGTACGTGTGTGTGTTTGTGTGGCTGCTTGTTCTAGTCTGGACTGATGCCGATATATAGTGCTAGCTCACTGAGATACCATGCCGCAGTTTAACATGAATACCCCACTCAGACACAGTATACTGAGTCCGAGCCGACCAGTCCTTGTTTTAGCCCCTTAATGCCGAGCGCCAGACAGGGTAACAACAAGTACCATCTTTTAATGTCTTTTGGTATGACATGGTCGGGGATTGAACCCCGGACCTTCCGTTCTCTGGGCGGACGCTCTACCACTAGACCATGGAGGCGGTCGCCTGTAAATAGTCAAGCCTGGACAAGGTAAACCAATGATTGAAACCTGGAGCCACGATCCATGCATTCAGCCAAGTCAGAGCACCTGATCAACACGTCTGTATATATATTTTATATCAAATAAGAGCTGAACATGGGGGTATCAAATAAGTGCTAAATGTGGGAAATCAAATAAGAGCTGAACGTGGGGGTATCAAATAAGAGCTAAATGTCGGGTATCTCAAACAAGAGCTAAATGTCGGGTTTAAAAAACAAGAGCTAAATGTGAAGTTGATACGTTGAATGAAGTGACAGATGTCAGAAACACAACTTACCAATAAATAGCTTAGCATCCACTTTTGGGTAGGCTTCCATTAAGCTTTTGACCAGCAGTATTGCTGGGTCCTGCTCATCTTGTACAGAGAAGAGGATCTCAAACTGAAACACAAATACATCAGTTTGTTTAACATACACTTTTCATGTGTATTTCACAATAATTTACATTGTATCTATTACCATAACTGTTTGTTCTAGCAAAGAGCAAATTAAGTGAAAAAACAAACAGTCAAAATGGTTACTGTAATTATGGAGATGAAAGTGTTGTTGTTGATTTGGGGAGAGGAGAGGGGAAAATGCCTAGAAAATTGCAGTGGAATGGTGACAAGAAGTAATTAAATTGCTCTGGCCTAATGATGTTTCACAAGGGCCAGATAAAGCTGTCATGTTTTCCGCTTTTCTAATTACCTTGAACAGTTGAGTTGGTTCCAGAAGATTAAGATTTCGTGTAAACATTATCTTAGTTATCGTATTCGATGTAATAAGCGCCTGGGGCACTCTCAAAATTAGAAATAGGGGGCTCTTATTAGAATATTATTTTGGTGAAAAAAACATAGTTGAAAGATAAATTTCGTTGTTTATGCTGACAGCCTGAAATGTTTATGTACGACGGATATATTTTTCCAGAATTTAATTGCCCATAATTAAGGGTGCATATAACACACGTGTGAGTATTATACCGAACAAATAAGTCTTGTGTACATTGATCAATCGGAATGGATGCAAATTGGGCTTGTTCACTAGCCAATATATCAGCAAATATCGCCGTGGGCGCTTATTAGAGCGGGGCGCTTATTACGTCGAATACGGTATATCACATTGTGTCAACCTATGATATCACATTGTGTCAACGTATGATATCACATTGTGTCAACCTATGATATCACATTGTGTCAACCTATGATATCACATTGTGTCAACGTATGATATCACATTGTGTCAACCTATGATATCACATTGTGTCAACGTATGATATCACATTGTGTCAACGTATGATATCACATTGTGTCAACCTATGATATCACATTGTGTCAACGTATGATATCACATTGTGTCAACCTATGATATCACATTGTGTCAACCTATGATATCACATTGTGTCAACCTATGATATCACATTGTGTCAACCTATGATATCACATTGTGTCAACGTATGATATCACATTATGTCAACGTATGATATCACATTGTGTCAACCTATGATATCACATTGTGTCAACGTATGATATCACATTGTGTCAACCTATGATATCACATTGTGTCAACGTATGATATCACATTGTGTCAACCTAACATGTGTCTATGAGAGGGCAAAGCCCCAAATAGGAATGAATTACACATACCATATTCCCTGTTATATGCGCCCAGGGCGCTGTCATAGTGACTGATTTATAACTACCATTGTCTGCAGTACATTTGACTTCAAGCGCAATTTACGTCTCCATAACTTAATTGTCATTACGTTTTAGGCGCTAATCCCCGTTGTTAATCCTCACCAACATTTCATTGTATTTTGACTGTCAGTCAGCCTGGACTACCATATCACTTCCCTTTAACTACTGCTTTTTATAGTATGGCATTTATTGCCCTAATTGATTATCCCATGAACTGTGTTTGTTAATCACGCCCACATGTCCAAAGCAACGTCGTTGTCTCTTTGTCTGTCCATTGTTGTTCATTACTATATATGTGCTACCATTACACAGGCCATTACACAGGCTTGGTATTCCGAGTGCTGGCATAGGGACGACCTCGAGCAGGATATGCTGCTCGTAGGAAACGCCCTGAGGTGAGCTGGAGCTCCGCTCACCTCTTGTACGCCTGAGCTGGAAAGTCCGCTCATTGCTGTGTTTGTGTTGTCAGAGCAGGTATTCCGCTCATTGTGCAATTGTTGTTTATTGTTTACATGTTGTGCATAAAGCGTTCCGGGACAGTGATGTCGATTTTGTCCTTTATTCCCCCAAGAGCTAATTCCCCGTCAACATGCCCGTTGACAGCGCTCTCAAAATTAGAAATAGGGGGCTCTTATTACAATATTATTTTGGTGAAAAAAAACAGAGTTGAAAGATGAATTTCGTGGTTTATTCTGCCAGCCTGATGTGTTTATATACGACAGATATATTTTTCTAGAATTTAATTGCCCATAATTAAGGGTGCATATAACACACAAGTGCATATTCTACGCGAATAAATAAGTCTTGTGAACATTTATCAATCGGAAAGGGTGCTAATTGGGATTGTTCACTAGCCAATATATTAGCAAATGTCGCCATGGGTGCTTATTACAGAGGGGCGCTTATTACGTTGAATACGGTAACACAGGGATTAGTGATGTAGTACGGTAAAAAAGAGCTTTAAGGTATTAAGTGTGTTCAAATGTCAATGTTCTGTGGACAAGTAAGGGTTTGTCACAAAACAAACTGAAATGTTTATTTACATTCAAATGGTGCATATAGACATACATATTAGGTTGCATTTTCCAATAATAGGATGCAATGGACCACTGGTGCATGTTTTATACAGCTAAATCGAGCCCTGCCAAGCGATGCATATTTCAATAGTTCACCACATTGGTGAAACTTACAATGGGTATGGTGCATACACATAACACAATCTTTCATTCCAGACAACGATCAGTGGATCCTCACAGCAAAGGGACGTAAACCCCGAATTACATCAACTTATATCATAAAGAAATGCAAGTCACTCGTGAAAGTAACAAATTATACCCCATGCCCTAAATTATGTGTATGATTGTGATGACAATTGGAAGTGTTATGTAGGGTAAAGCATTATTCATTTACAAGACTGACCTCTTGCCATGTGTAGCCCTGCTAACCATCACTTGTGTACAGCCATACCTGCCTAGTGAGTCACCAGAGTAAGGGGGTGTGAGGGGAGGGGCGAAACCATTGTTAGATGCCCCTACTTTCCTAGTCACATGGCTACAGTGGCTTATGCATAAATCAACACGCAAGGTCAAACGTCGTGAGGTGTGGTACTTCAGTATTTGAATCTAGGGACACCCAAAATGTTTCACTTTAACAAGGTCACAATTTGTCTAAAGAGTTTCAAGAAAGGTGAAAATCAGCGTTAGAAATTGGCACTAGTCCTATAGTCCTTACCAAACTGCCCAATAGTAAAGGTATCCTAAGGACTAGAAAAATTGGCCCATTTTATGGGTTTTGCTATATGTTATCATTATAAGGACTAGTGGACCAAAACTGTTAGTTTCTAAGGCTGGAAAATGAGTGTATACTTTCAGTTACAACACTCAGCCTGACACCTTGACCTGACACAAGTAACTCTACACTGACTACACGTTATCAGCCTTATGTAAGCTGGTCCTACGTCATGACACTCCAGTTTCACATGTCACCAGTGTACATTAATTCAAATGACAGGATGAGCCTGATAATCGCATAGCTGGTCAGGAGTGTACCTCGTCGTGATCACGTCTACACTATCACTACACAGAAGAAGCTTTAGTCAAAACAGGTGCTGCTACTGACGTGACTGATAGGCATCCAAAGGACAAATGTTACTCACATTAATTAGGTCAGATTTTGATGTAGTGTTCCCTCACTATTGCGCCCATCAATATCGTGCTGACTCGGTTATAGTGCACGGTAACACATGGCTCCAAAAACTTACATACATTTTGAATAAACTTGTTTTACACTAACCAGATGTTTTTTCCCCATTGCAAAAATCAATACCAGCTCATCACTGTGAGCACATTTGACTGGAAATACAATGGTCAACAAATCTGAACAGAAGTACGCAATTTAATCCTATTATTACACTATCTGGTTATATAAACGTTTTCATCATGTTCATTGTATATCCGGACTTAAGTTTGTAATATATTTTATGAATTTTATTCAATATATACCAGATATTTTTATTCTTAAAACTATGAGCCTGAATATTTTTTGAAGAAAAACACATTGCAACTATGTAATTTTTGTGGCAGCCATTTTGTTTTTTCCAACTGTCTGAAGCATTATTATTGTTTTCAAGAATTTTCAGGGACAATTTATTTTTTACCATAAAAAACCATTGCATCAAAATTCTTTTAAGGCTGTATCAGTGGGTATTTTTTAACTGAATCCAGAGCTACAGATAAGCAGCGTATTTGCGTAAAATACTCCCCAAAAATATTCTAAATGTGATTACTTTCAATTAACTTGTGTACAGAGACACATGTATTAAATGAAAAACTCAAACGTATAAAAACACCATGCGTAAATATCCAATGAAGCTTTTTCAGCATGCGTACAATGGAGCTAATTTCTGAAACACAATTACAAGCTAATGTACTTTCAGAGTCAAACCTTTAGTTAGAACCCTTATATACATCTAAAACATAATATTTTCTTTTTGAAATCTCAAAATGTTAGTTCATTTTGGGAAAAAAACAATAGAGTGATGAATAGGTGAATGAAAAAATATTGGCTACCCAATAAAAAATGTAACAAGAGTTTGCCACTAACGTGGCTATATCCCCCCGCCCTTGTTGCAGAATTTATGACATAATTAAATCTAAACAAACCCTAACCTTTTTTAACCGAGGTGGAACTTGTCATGGAAATTGTAAAAAAAAGAAGAGTTTGGAACCTAAGTCCATCTTGTTGCCATGGAAACGTAAAAAATAAAAATTTCTAAAATTTCTAAATAGCAAAAGGCACCAGTTCAGCATGTACCTGACAGACCTGCAAAGTTTCATAAAAACAGGAGCAGTATTATCAGATTAAACCACACAGGAGCAGTATAATCAGGCTTAAACCACACAGGAGCAGTATTATCAGATTAAACTACACAGGAGCAGTATAATCAGGCTTATACCACACAGGAGCAGTATAATCAGATTAAACCACACAGGAGCAGTATAATCAGATTAAACCACACAGCAGCAGCCTAATCAGGCTTAAACCACACACTAGCAGCATAATCAGATTAAACCATGCAGAATCAGTATATTCAGATTTAAACCACACAGGAGCAGCATAATGTCACTTGACATTCAATAAACAGCATCAGGTGATAACGAGATAAATGCACCATGTGGCGACAGGTGAAGTTCAATATATTGACAAATCATATATATATATATTGACAAAAATGTTAGTTCCTACTGCTGCCTTGTTTTGGGATATCATTAACAAACACAGGGGAGAGATACAGCAGTCAGTGTGCGAGCTTAGCCTCAATTTTGTAATTGATATCTTTTCCTGATGCTCGACATGAAGCATGATTCATCATTCTCCTCATGACCTAGGACGATGGTGTCTCTCCTGAGGCCGTGTGCATGCTGATTATTTTTATGGGTTACCAATCAACTAATGTAATGATTGTTGTTTTGTTGTGAGTTGGGTTTTATGCTCATTCAAAGAGTAACTTAATTGCTCAAAAAGTTATCTGGAGCTCTGGAATCACCTGTCAATTGGGAGAAAACGTGTACAGCTGATTGCTTCTTCCTGCTTAGTTTACGAGAAAGTAGACATGGCAATCTTAATCTCTGGAAAATCCCCATTAAAATAATGCCTTGGAGATCAGGAGAAACTACAATCTAAATGGTGAACTGTTACAAGCAATGATTTTGTCTAGAGATGTTTGATCTCAATTTTTTCAAATTTTACTTGGTTTTTCAGATATTTGTGTGAGAGAGTATAATTCCGCAAAACAATGTTTAAAAAGGTCTTGTCTCACACCCATGAACAGCACTGCACCTGTTGTGTTGACATTTAGTACAGGGTCCGATGTTTGATACCAGCTGTACCGCTGACGCCAGTTAAAACTGGAATCAATAGTGTCCCAATCTAGTGGGTTATCATAATCAGACTCAAACCACACAGGAGCAGCATAATCAGACTTATACCACACAGGAGCAGCATAATCAGACTTATACCCCACAGGAGCAGCATAATCAGGCTTAAACCACACAGGAGCAGTATAATCAGACTCAAACCACACAGGAGCAGCATAATCAGATTAAACCATACAGGAGCAGTATAATCAGATTAAACCACACAGGAGCAGTATAATCAGGCTTAAACCACACAGGAGCAGTATAATCAGACTCAAACTACACAGGAGCAGCATAATCAGACTTATACCACACAGGAGCAGTATAATCAGATTAAACCACACAGGAGCAGTATAATCAGATTAAACCACACAGCAGCAGCCTAATCAGGCTTAAACCACACACTAGCAGCATAATCAGATTAAACTATGCAGAATCAGTATATTCAGATTTAAACCACACAGCAGCAGCATAATGTCACTTGACATTCAATAATCAGCATCAGGTGATAACGAGATAAATGCACCATGTGGCGACAGGTGAAGTTCAATATATTGACAAATCATATTTATATATATTGACAAAAATGTTAGTTCCTACTGCTCCCTTGTTTTGGGATATCATTAACAAACACAGGGGAGAGATACAGCAGTCAGTGTGCGAGCTTAGCCTCAATTTTGTAATTGATATCTTTTCCTGATGCTCGACATGAAGCATGATTCATCATTCTCCTCATGACCTAGGACGATGGTGTCTCTCCTGAGGCCGTGTGCATGCTGATTATTTTTATGGGTTACCAATCAACTAATGTTATGATTGTTGTTTTGTTGTGAGTTGGGTTTTATGCTCATTCGAAGAGTATTATTTACTTCACATCATAATCTACCTGCTGAAACAGGCTTCCAGCTGGCAAGGGATCACAGAATTTGGTTATTATGTAAGTCACCTGATTTTGGCAGCAATTCCATTACATTTTTCGTTGTGAGGTATTTAAAGAAGACAGAAATATATACATATGTACTTATGTTGGCAAACAAGGCTCAATTCCAACACCTATTTTGTACATTGACAGAAATGAAAGCTTATTTCAGTTTATATAAATTATATGCTTGAAAATAAGTTCTAAGGAATTAAAGCCATCTTGTCAACTTACCGTATTCGACGTAATAAGCGCCCAGGGCACTCTCAAAATTAGAAATAGGGGGCTCTTATTAGAATATTATTTTGGTGGAAAAAACAGAGTTGAAAGATACATTTCGTGGTTTATGCTGACAGCCTGAAATGTTTATTTACGACAGATATATTTTTCCAGAATTTAATTGCCCATAATTAAGGGTGCATGTAAGACACGAGTGCGTATTATACGCGAATAAATAAGTTTTGTGTACATTGATCAATCGGAAGGGGTGCTAATTGGGATTGTTCACTAGCCAATATGTAAGCAAATATCGCCGTGGGCGCTTATTAGAGCGGGGCGCTTATTACGTCGAATACGGTACATTGTTCTTGTACCACCAGTGGTGGTTGAAGAAAAAATAAAACGTTCTGATGTTTCGTTACCATGATATGAGGGCTGCAACAATTTACCGATACCGACAATATCATCGATACTTAGGTACTGACGATACTTGAATCGCCAGTTTGTGAGATCGTGATACGCTATAAATAGAACAGGAACTAATAGAGTTACTTCCCATCATGGCAGAAGTAGCATAGCGCCACCTGTAAGCATGGCAGAACACGAAGATGTGGTAGCAGAGGATGTGCCAACTGTTACATTTTATAACCATCCCTTCATTTAAAACTGTTTTGTTCTTGTGGTTTTCTTGCACTTTGTTCATGTTAACTTAGTAATCTCTTTCAATTCAAATTGCGCTATTGCTGTCCTCAATTGTAAGCAACATCACTGCACTTTCTAAAGTACTCACGGAAATGAAAAAAACCTGTTTTTCTCAATTTAAAAATCGACACAAAGTGTTACGTCGCTGTAAATACGAAATAACAAAACAACTCCAAAAGTACTAGTCTGGATTTGCTAGTTTGATCTCAGTGAACAACACAAAATGTACTTTACAGGAGGTAATTTGTCGGCACTTTCAACATTCATAAATAAAACTAAGTCCAAATTGACATAGCAGAAACAGACTATAGGCATTATGCACCTGTTCTCACCTGTCGTCAAGGTGTCATAGGTCATGGACATTCACCTTGATCTACTTACACCTGGTTATGCCCTGTTTCACAATAGTCTGTTTTATTCACATTTTTACTTGTAAAAAGGCATAAAAACCTTTGATACGCTGTATTTGTGCCAAGGCCCAATTAGTACTAATTGAGTTGTTTGAATATTTACATATATTAACTGCATTTATTTAAGATCTGAGGTCGAAAAAACAGGGTTTTTTTTATTTCCGTGAGTACTCTAGGTGTACCCAGGGTGCATGTCATATGCAATCAGAATACTGTTCACATACTTTCGTAACTCACTCAACAGTAATTTGACTGATTAGTAGCTATAGTCTGGAAGGTAATTTAAGGTACCAACGTTTACTACAATATCTGAAAAACTATTGGACCTACTCCAGTCAAAATTGGTATGAGATTATTAAACAGTCATACATAACTGGATATTACATTTAAAGACAATCGGTGCATGAATAAAAAATCTGTCTATTTAGCTATCACTATATTTCATCAACAAATAGACCTGTTCGTCACGGGTGGAACGAGCATTCATTGAAACAGCCATCTGCATAATGCTACCCCTGCGTCACAGGGCCATATGACACAGTTGAACCAATCAACTCAACACGAAAAGGTGCACGGGAACCACGCACACACGAATATTGTGTTAGTGTTGGGCGTCTCATCGTGCGTGATTGCTGTGCACCCTTTCGAGTGTCTTAAATTACCTTCCAGACTATAGTAAAAGCTGACTTTATTATTGTAATTCTGTAATTTTTAGAATAAAATCATAATTATTGCAAAATCCCAAAGGAAGCAGGGCTCTATTTAAGGGACTTGATCTAACCTGCACCAGATGCATGCTGACATGAAACGTGAGTTGCACCATACTAAACCAGGTTGCACCCTGCTCCCATACAATTATAAACTATTTAGGGTATACTCACGGCAGGATAGCTGCTATTGAAGAAAGTGGTGAGGTTGGTCTTAAGGTTGGGGTCCACCCCGGTGAGGGGTTTGATGATGGACACGCCCTGCATGTCCTCGGGGGACAGGTCCTGGGGGGCCCGATGAAGGAGCCATTTACTGCAACAAACAAAGTAACCATGGTAACAGCAGGGTTTCAGACCGGTTAACATGCTAGAAGTTGAACACTGACCAATTTGCACACAATATGTCCAAATATATTTCTTTGTTTAATTTGGTACTTAAGTAGAAGGGCCTACAAACTAATGAAGATCTGAGTGATTGAATGTTGTGTAAGCCACATCAATAATATTCCAACCATGGTGCCCTGTATATAATATAACAGCCTGTGCCAAAACTTTCAGACTTCTAGCCCGACTTCAGCGTTAGGAACTACAGTGAACTATGTTTATAGCAAACACGCTCATAACAAACTTACTGATATAACAAACTTTTTTTGAGTCCCAGCCATTTGTTGTATAAATGCTGTATATATGATTATAATGAACTACAGTTATTATAAACTAAAATATTTTAGTGGTCCCTTTGAGTTTGTTATAACCTTAGTTTACTTAACAGTTCTAGTCCTCTCGTCCTTATAATAACATACAGCAAAACTCTTAAAAATAGCAAATTTCTACTGGTCCTTATGATACCTAAACTTTTGGGCAGTTTGGCAAGGACTAATGCTGAACTTGGCTCTTGGCATCATGTTCAGTAGAATTTGGTGATATAACGTGGACTATTGTTAGCTGTCATACTAGATCCAACAGAATATTGCCAGACTCGGGCTTCAGACTAGTGGCTCAAGTTGCAGACTGATATATTGTGAGTCAGGGCCAGACAAACCAGCTGTTGCTTATGTGGGCCACACCATTAGGGCACAATGACACGCAATCAGCAATGTCACTGTTTAGTCACCTTGTACAACAAATATAGATTACTGGGGATCAATACTGGGTCTCAGAGGAGAATACATGACTGACAGACAATCCAGAGATTGACATCATGAGCATTGATCTATGCAATTGGGATACGATGATATGCAATCAACCAAGTCATTGAGCCTGACAACCTGATCCCGTTAGTCGCCTCTTACAACAAGCATAGTCCCCTTTTACAGCAAGCATCGGTTGCTGAAGATCTATTCTACCCCGGATCTTCAACGTTGGTGTACTGTTACTCATGCATTAACAAACTGAGTGTCATTATTGAGGGGTCACACACATAAAAGAGATAAAAGTATAAAATAATGTTGCATTTTCAACTTCTGGGAGTGCAGTTCAGGTGCATCAGGAACGAACCATTTTAAACCCGCATTCACTGCGACTTGTCATGCACTGCACATGAATGGGTTAACCACTGGTTGCATTCAGGCATATTTTAGTAAGCTTGTTCCATCATCTACACCTGCGCATTTCGTTCTTTTTAATAGGTGTCTCCATTTTTCCAGTTACATAAAAGCATGCAATCAGTTTGTTTGTTTGTTTTCTTTGTTTGTTTTTTAACACCACACTCAGCAATATTCTGGCTATATGATGGCAGTCTGTAAATAATCAAGTGTGGACCAGACAATCGAGTGATTTACATCATGACCATCAATCCATGTAATTGGGATCAATGACATGCATCCACCAAGTCAGCGACATAGGCATAAGTAACATGTTCCATATGTGAATCACACTGTCAACATACTCAGACCTATTGATGCTTGTTGGCATTATGTTCAAGTCAAAATAAACGTGAACTATAGAATCATAAGGAAAAGTTTGTACTTTAGAAGAAATGTTTCAATTGTGTACCAGTTAATGACAAAACTTACAATCAGTCAAGTGTTACAATAGCGTATCTTTATTCTTTTCATGATATGATGCATGTGATTTCCAAACTTTACACACTAATCCTTCATGTGACTAATGGTGCATCTCTAAACAAGGATCTATGACGTCACATGTGATGCGTTCATGAGCGTCAGTTCACATAGCATACCAGTATGTTCGTTTGTGCATCGAACCAATCTAGTATCTCTTGAATATGAGTAATACTTCATATATTAACCAGCATGTATGGTATTCATGTTTCTTTTGTCGGTCAGTATATATCCATACATGTTACTCTTGACATTCAAAAACAGCATCAGGTGAACATCGAGATGATAGCACCATGCGTTGACACATGCCAAGTGAAGTTCAATATATTGACAAATCACTTTGTGTGGCCAGTTAAAACTACTAAGGGCTTGCTGAAAAGTAAAGACTGGCTAGTCAAAATTTCACCCCTTCTCCGTGAATGTTTAATTTTTTTAATGGCATCATCTCAGTAGAATGACAACCAGTGGCCAGTTTGGAATATGTACAACAACTTCTGTTTGCTCATAAATCACCAGGAAATGAGGTAAATGGGAGCCAAGATTTAATCTCAGAGTGCAGGAAAAAAACCTTTTGGGGTGAGGATTTCTAAAACTTTCAGAGCCCTGCTAGTTGTAGGCCTGTTAGCCAGTGGCCCGTTTCACAAAGCGATCGTAGCGCTATGACTACCGTAACTCCTATACTTTAACATAGACTTACGACCGTCTTAGCGCTACGATCTCTTTGTGAAACGGGCCCCTGGAGAAGGGCCAGTAAGTTTTAAAAGGAGCAAGCCCTGCTACATACAAACTTGTTTTTAAATCTACCTCTGTGTCTAAAACAATAAAACAAAATCAACAACAAAAAATGTAAAGTATATCACATATTTGAACAAACTGATACCTTTTACTTTCACATCAAAGGCAATCATTTACATTGTTAAGTTCATACAAGTGGTCTTTTGAGATGCCAAAGGCCACAACATAAAAGACGTGTTTCCAGTTTCCCATATGAAGATGACCTGGTGCCCACCAAAGCCAAACCATTTTTTTGTATTCCCAAGTTGCACCACTGCTTTTACTGCCATCCTGTTTGTTTGTAGTTTACGCCAAATTAAACATACATTACCATGGTTACCAATGGCAAGAGGTAAATGTAACAACTACTCAACCATGTATAAATGGTCAATACAATTTTATCAAAGACCTTGTTGACCTAGTGCTAATTTAGTACCAGTATCAGTAGCATTATAAACAATAACACCAAGAAAATCTCATATGCAGAAATAGAAACAAACAGTTGGAAGTCTACCATGTCTACTAGTCCTTATAATAACATACAGCAAAACCCTTAAAAAGGGCAAATTTCTACTAGTCCTTATGATACCTTAACTATTTGGCAAGAACTATAGGACTAGTGCCCTGTATACAATGGTATATAATATAACAGCCTGTGCCAGAACTTTCAGACTTCTAGCCAGATTTCAGTGTTAGGAACTACAGTGAACTATGTTTATAAAAAACACGCTTATTACAAACATACCTAAATAACAAACTTTTTTTAGTGCCAGCCATTTGTTGTATAAATGCTGTATATATGCTTTTAATGAACTACGGTTATTACAAACTAAAATATTTTAGTGGTCCCTTTAAGTTCTTTATAACCATAGTTTACTGTAACAGTTCTAGTCTTCTCGTCCTCATAATAACATACAGCAAAACTCTTAAAAATAGCAAATTTCTAAAAGTCTTTATGATACCTAAACTTTTGGGCAGTTTGGCAAGGACTATAGGACTAGTGCAAATTTCTAACGCTGAACTTGGCTCTTGGCATCATGTTCAGTAGAATTTAGAGATATAATGTGGACTATTGTCAGCTGTCATACTAGATCCAACAGAATATTGCCAGACTCGGGCTTCAGACTAGTGGCTCAAGTTGCAGACTGATATATTGTGAGTCAGGGCCAGACAAACCAGCTGCTGCTAATGTGGGCTGCTAATTTCTACTTGTCCTTGTGATACCTTAACTACTTGGCAGTTTGGCAAGGATTATAAGACTACAGCCAGTTTCTAACATTGATATCCACCACAGCAGATCTTGAATAATGAAGTTTTCTTATATAACAACCTGATCAATCATTTTTTCATCTGTCTATTTGTTAACATTACATATGAATCCCGGAGAGTAGCCCCAATGTAGATAGGGCATTATCTGTGTAGCATGCAGCAAGCCTGCACTATCTGTTATCACAACGAGAATGAGTCCATGACTCACGACTCTTCCCTGTCACGTTATCTTTACCATGTAGATGACTATAGGATTGTTAGTCGGGGGACGACGGAAAATGGGCTTCACACATTGTACCCATGTGAGGAATCGAACCCGGGTCTTCACGTGATGAGCCAACGCTTTAACCACTAGGCTACCCTACAGCCCCTCAATGATTTGGAGCATTTCTAGGTGCAGAACATCGAACAGTAGAACTTAGAGAAAAAGTTTAATTCATGAAAAAAGGAGTCAATCATAATTAAAATTGAATGAAGTTAATTAGAACACTGTCGTTACCATGTTGACTACCTTGCCAATGTTGACTACACATACTATAAGATTATGATACATTTTCATTAAAGTTGTTTTTCTTATGTCTTTACTAGTGATTAACTGATTATTTTATCCAATTTTTGGACCAGTACAATATGAAAGTAAAACTATCAAATGACATTGATTATGGACACAATACAAATCTACTGTCATACATCAGTGCTATATATAAGCTTTTGGTTATTTGGGTATTTTACCCAGGGGTTTGATTGGGTATCCACAAGTTTTAGTGGGTATTCAATTTTTTTTTACCCAACCGTTTCTTCACATTGGGGTATTTTACTTTAAACCTGTTTTGTAAAAATCCCTGTAAATCATTTAAAATTATTTGAATTCCATTCTATATTCGTACATATCATGATCATCTATTTTCAGACACAAGTAGGCCTAACAGAAATGAATGTCACAGAGAGGTATATCTATCTGACAAGGCTAGCCAAGACAGCTACCAGTATCTGTATGGATAATCCACAGGCCCCTGAAGCAGGAAAGTGATAATGCTGAAACACCAGATCCATGTATATATATAAATATACTGTTAATATATATAGGTCCTGTGTTTCAGTAATATCACTATCCTGCTTCAGGGGCCTGTGGGATAATCATGATTTCCAATTCATGATTTAGTCTTCATCAACATTTCACCTGGTGATTCGTTATAACCACAAGGAGATGATGGAATCGGTTATTCTTGCATAAGAACGTTTAAAAACAAGTATGTGTTAGTTTGGAAATAGCTTTTTCGAAAAAAACCACCATGTTATTAACATGACAACCGCCTTCACGGGTTCTCTGGTATTGTGCACTCACCTGTGTCTAGAGTAAGTCACAGATTAGAGGCGTTTCCGCCGGCAGGTGCTTGCTGAGAAATAAATCATCAAAACAACGATAATTCACACTTACCCGTATATGAGAGACATAACATGACTGAACCAACACACAAGCCACGCAATAAAAAGAACCCCTGCGATACATAATGTCAAAACACGATCTATAGTCATATCGACATGACGACTCCAAAAGCGGACGACGTTACTACTCCGGTATGGCACGCATGCGCATGTGTAATGATTTAAATGCTAGTTCCCTTATGACAAGTAACAAACCGACTTTAAACGTAGGTGTCTACTGACTTTTATAAGATTGGTGTACATAAATACATGGCCCAAAAGAATATTTCTCACAGTCCATAAACAATTAGTTAGGTTAATAGCTTGTGGTTAAACCGTTTTGGTTTTTTAACCATACACATTTTATATACACACGTAAAAACAATGATTTGAAGAATTTTATATGACATTTTGGTACGATCGCGTGTCACGGATTTTAAGAATATATTCTTTGAAACAAACGGAGTCCTTTTTCTTTGGAATCTTTGGGAAAATGTCAAAGCATTGCTTATTCATTGCTTATTTCTTCTATTCATAATTTATTTTGAAGAAGAACAAGGGGATTAGGTTCAGGTGCGAAGTAAATACAGATTATTTAAACAATAATGTCTCCGTTACTTACGTTTTATCACCAAGACCAATCTAGCCATGGACGATTATACGAGCTACGTTGTTTTAGTTTCAAGGGAAACACAAACTGTAACGAGTAAACATACGTTGAAAATAGTCACCGATGTGCCGAGGCGGCAAAGGTATTAAAAACAAGTTAACAGGTAATAATTTGTTGTCAATGTAATTACTTCCATCGCAATTCATAAGTCTCGAGAAAATATAGGCCTATACTGCCTTAAACTTCAGTTATGTGTAAAATTTCACCCTTTAAAAATACATGTATAACCATAACGTGAATTTGCAGTCAGTGATAAAAATATTTCAACCCATCGCGTAAAATACCAAACCAACCCCCCAAAATGCATCAGTGTATTTTCCAATATATTGAGAACGGCTTACACTTTTTGTTTGAGAAAAATACATGAGAGTTTATTATCACGGGGCTCACATGTACAGTCACGAGACGGACTGTACTAAAATACGTTGTACGGAAAGTAGATTTTCGATGCAATTTAGCAAATCAGTTTACCTGTCGGGAGCAGTTATTGGAGCTTGGGTGATAGTTAAATTTTACAGATAAATATCATCAAAGGATTTTTCTTTAACCAAGATTATCTTACTAAAAATATACTAATACATATATGTAATACATGTATACGTGTCCCATTATATTTAACGGAACAGATATAGTAATTCACAAGTAAGCACAAACATTGCTCCTTGTATTTGATTCCTTGTTACCAATCACGACACTGTCGAAGTCACGTTCCGTTCTCGTGAAAGGGTGCTTGTTTGGTCGAGGGGGTTGTCATTAGCAATAAGATCAACGGATGTGTGTGCTGTTCATGTTCTATCAAAACATTTTCATATTTGTAACGTTGTTACAATTAACCTTTGCAGCTGAAGATGAATCTCCAGCCACTACACTCGCTGATGATGGGGCGTGACCAGAGGAACTATTCACCTGTGCGGCGATAAATAATACATATACTCCCTCGCTTGTTATAAAAATACTAGCAATTCGCGCTAAACATGGACCTGTCGACTCCCATATTAAATTACCCCAATTAACACGACAGTGTATAAATTTGAAATATATTAATATGTTTATTATTGTCTATTACATATTGTTGTGTTGTGCGAGTTTAAATGTAAAATATATCTGCTTCGCCTAGTGCCTATTACAAATCGATGCCGAGCCTTGAAAAATGACACGTACGTTGTCTTGCGTCTGGATAATTATATATGGTGATCGCTCGATCACTGATAGATGATACACATGATTAATTAAGCCTTTGTTGTTGTTTTTCGTTGTTTAACGCCGCACTCAGCAATATTCCAGCTATTTGACGGGGGTCTGTAAATAATCAAGTCTGGGCCAGAGAATCCAGAGATTGACATCATGAGCATCGATCTACGCAATTGGGATACGATGACATGCATCAACCAAGTCAGCGAGCCTGACCACCCGATCCCGTTAGTCGCCTCTTACGGCAAGCATGTGTTGCTGAAGACTTATTCTAGCCCGGAATTCTTCACGGGTATATTAATTAAGCAATGTAGTTGAATGACTTTAATAAAACTTGCGACAAAACGGATTAATTTCCCCTTTCTAACACCCTTTAACTCCATGTATTGTATAAAACGAAGCATTTAAATGATACATGATCACCCATGCAAATCCTTATAGGCTCATTAGTCTTAATTAAAGCACTCGCCTGTCTCGAACTACGAGTGCCATACTTAAATTATCGAGTGTGTCGTTAACAACTTACTGTATGTATATCTACTGTCAAATATCATAACAAGCCTGTAACTATAGACAGTCGATGAGTATATATATCTTATGAAGTGCCGTTATAAAATTTATGATTTAAAAGCTCTCCCACGTCACTTCTCCGTCAACAAAACTCCTATTAATGAACCATTTCTCCTTTTACCATACTCGCCAATATGTTTACGTTTAACTCACATAATGAAATGCTATTCCTCAACCCTGAGTAGTTGTGGACCTTTATGCTATATTAAAGGCCGGACTCTGCCAATGTCGTCACAACTGTAGGCACTTACGAACGTGACTAGTGATTAATGTCAATATTTAGTATTTGTATACACGGAGATTTCACCAATACATGATGGTGGGGTCGTGAACGTGGTTGTCACGGTCGACGCTACCCCCTGCCGACTGGACGTGACTAGTGACAACGCTGATCTATGTTGCGACACTTGACTTCATTTCCTCATGCGTTCTGCTTGTATGTGATTTACATAGAGAGTTTCAAGCCTATCGCTAGGTAAATATTTACACTACATATATGTAAATATCATATATGTATACATAACTAATACTTGTGTAGAGTACAGCTAACACTGTGGAATGATTGATTTTTTCTTGACAATGATCCTAAATTATCGGAAATAAAAATTTGTAAAAAAATTTTTTTTAGAAACTTTGAAAATTCAACAATTATCCGTAAAATATTTCTGATAGAGCATGATCTAGATACACTATTTAATTTGTTATCAGTATACTTTCATTACTCAGGAGGGCAAGGTTGATTATTTTCGGAATAGGGCCAAGGTTGTCGGTGCATTTAATTTCAGTAGTAACTGTGGATTATTGTTGTTGGCTCGTTCGTTTCACTTGGTTGTCTGGTCCTGACTCGATTTTTTTACAGACCGCCGTCATATAGCTAGAATATTACTGAGTGCGGCGAAACAACAAACCAACCAAACCAATCGTTCGTTTCACGTTGTCATGTAACATTGTGACGTCATGTGAACGCTTTGTTGTAAATACTGGAAAATGACGTTATCCATTGTTTATGGCGTCACAAGCGATTTTATGTGACGTTCCAACTATTGACCGACTGTTAGTCACCACGGGATAAAAAAATGTCTGCATTTTCTTAAAAAAAACTATTGGTAAAATAAAGAATAAACTACTCGCAAGTCGGGATTACGATTTAAATGTCCCCCGTGAATTAATGTTGAAAGTTCCGCTCTAAGACTCGGAACAGACAGAATTACTCCCCCCGGGACAAATAATCCGTAAGTCCTGGTAGCTGGTCTCTAAAAGTCAACCGCCAAAGCTCCCGGTATACAAGATTCACACGAGACGGATAATTCCTCGAAGATCGTTAGTTATTTTCTAAATATTGAACTGGTATACATTTGAACTGATATATATTTAACAAGTAGTTGAAAATACGTAGTTCGTTGTTTTTTAATAAAAAGGATATTCAAACTCGGAAGCTGCCGCAGACGGAATGAGAACATTACAATCGTGCGTGCTGTGAGAGTGAGTGAGTTGGGTTTAACGCCGCTTTTAATAGTATTACAGTTATATCGCGGCGTGTCAGCTTAATGTGGGAGGAAAGCCCGAAGTGATGCAGGTCTCAGACGTTTACCTCTTCGGTGAAACCCACGAGCACGGGTATGGTGCTGACAACCCTAGAAACATAATCGGGTCGAACCGGGATTCGAACCCACAATCATAAGTTTCTGGCGTGCCCAAGGGACGCAACTTTGCACAGCGAATCGCGGCGCCTTAGACGACTGTGAAACCCGTGCCCCCTGCTGTGAGAGAGTCAGTGAGTGAAAGGATATTGTGTTACGCCAAAGTCAACAATATCAGCAGGGACAGACATGAGCAACGATTCTCTCCAGTCGGTCACGATGACACAAAGTCAGCAAAAACGCTTATTGTAGTACCTTCCGACCCTGTGTGGACAGCGGTCAGCGGCCAGCATGTATGTTTTAACCAGGGCAAAAGTATGTCCAACCACCACCACCATCGTACCCCCTACTGAGGGGAGAGGGCGAGATTTAGTGTTCCCTGATACGATAAAAAATATCTGAATTGAGAATTGTTTTACGCCATTTTTATAGGCAATATTCTAGCATTATCACTGCCGGGGACACAGACATACCCATGTTGGGAATCAAACCCGGGCCTCAGACATGACGAGCGAACGCTTTAACCACTACACTACTCGGTAAACCTCGGGCAAAGTGACAATTATTTCACTCGGGACATAAACTTTATATAAAATTGAAGCTAGTGTAATATCAGATTCACAGCGGGGGACACCAGTTTTCCCATGTGGGAAATCAACGTTTTAGAAGAATACCCAACCCCTATATGCAGTTAGGTATCCTGTTTGGATCATATAAGGTGAATGATATAAAACGGATTTTTGTTCTTGAAACAGATACAGGGGGCTAAGGCAAGCTTCTATCCATTCATAGCTCGGATAATGCGCTTCAATTATTCATTTATCTATTCTTATGTCGCACGAAACTGCTCGTGACAAGACCCGAACATGCTCAGATAACAGGGAATGCTAGACAAATGATAATCGTGTTACACTACAACTATTTGTTATCAGCCACTCAGCAAGGTGACGCGACAGTATATTCTCTCGCTATGTTACCTGATATCATCAAGAGGTTTTCCGTTTCTCAAGTCTCTCGCCATGTTGCCTGATGTCATCAAGAGTTTTTTACGTTTCTCAAGTCTCTTGTAATGTTGCCTGATGTCATCAAGAGGTT